GAGAGTGCTATGCAGCCTTTCTATACTCCCCCTACCCTTAGGGTGCCCTGGAGTGTTGAAATGCCACTTTACCCCTAAGCTCTTCATTTCCTCTCTGATTTTAGCATTGTCGAATTCCCTACCTCCATCGGACGTTATGCGATCGGGCACTCCGTAAAATTGGAACCACGTCTGAAGAGCTCCGAAGACTGTATCTGCTGATCGGTCCAGCACCCGGTGTGCCATCGCGGCTTTGCTAAAGAGGTCTATGAGCGTGACCCACTTGTACCCTTTCCACGTGCACGTATCCACCTGCAAGTCGCTGAGCGGTGCCTCGTGGGGTGTCTCCTCCTGCCTTGTTCTGGGAGGGTGTCTATCGTATTTCGTACTTAGGCAAATCTCACACGCCCCTATGACTTCCTCGATTGTTTTCTTCATACCCCACCAAAAATACCGACGACGTAACGCCTGGAATGTCTCTTGCACTCCGCGGTGGTTCGTTTTGCCTTGATGGTAGGCAAGAGTCACTTCTTTCTGTCGTTCCTCGTCCCGCACCGTTTCCACCATCAGCTTACACCGGATTAATGTCCTATCTATCCCCAATCGTTCATCCCGCCATAACCTTTTTATCTTCTCCCAAATCGTCTCATTCCCCACATATGTGGTGAATTTTGCTTGCTTTAGACGCGTCTTTTAAAGCTCTGCAGATCTGGTCCCCGCTGGCCCCTGGTTGTGACCAAATGGTTGTTATTCGGCTGTTTCCATATTTGCTGTATAGAATCTTCATCAGACCCGACGTCCTGGTCTTCCAGATAATCTGGCGGTTCTTATCGTTGACGATTTCCTCCCGTTCTTCCATATCCGCTGATCTCTCTTCCTCTGGACTTTCATGTCCTGGGGACTCATCCCCAATCTGACCTCCCTCTCCCTCTGGCGTCCTCTCACTCAGGAACTGTCTGACATCCCTGGATGATTCTCCCGTGTCCTCCTCTATAGCATTTATGACGATCGCCCTTGACAACCAATCTGCCACCATGTTCTCCTTCCCAGGTATGTATACGATGTCCAAATTGTATTGAGTCACGAATTCCTTCCAACGTGTGACTCTAGCCGACGACTCCTTCAACTTGCCTGCCCATTGTAGAGGTCTATGATCCGTGTGCACACGGAACTTCCTCCCAAACACGTAGGGTCTAAAATGGTCGATCGCCCACACAATCCCCAACAGTTCTCTTTCCAGCGCGCTATATCTGGTTTCTGCGTCCGTAAGCCGCCTGCTGGCATACGCTACGGGGCGCTACCCCCCCATTCCCTTCTTGTGACAACACCACCCCCAACGCGTATTCACTAGCGTCTGTCGTTATGGTGAATACTTTCGAAAAATCCGGAAATGCCAACACTGGTTCCTCTTGCAGTTTCGCCATGCATCTCCTAATATTATCCTTCATTATAGGGGTCACTATTATTTTTCTGCCTTTCTTTAATAAGTTGTTAAGGGGCACGAGGTATTCCGCCATTTCGGGCACGAATCTTCTATAATAGTTGAGGGTACCCAGCAGCCTGCGATTCCCTTTAACGTCCCGAGGGATCTCCATCTTCCGAATTGCCTCCACCTTCTGCGCGTCTGGTTTGACTCCCTCGCTTGAAATCGTGTGGCCTAAAAAATTGATGCGGTCTTGTCCCAGCACCGACTTCTCGTTTGACAATTTCCACCCAAATTGCCTCACTCTCGCGAACACACTCCGTAGGTGCTTCCACATGCTCTGCCTCGGTTCTGCTAAACACCAACAAATCATCCATGTAAATCTGGCAGACTCCTTCATCAATTCCTCTGAGAAACTCATCCATCAACCGCTGGAATGTTATAGGGGCATTCTTGAGCCCAAACGGCATCCTAGTAAATTCGTAGTGCCCTCTCTCGAATGTAAATGCCGTCTTCGGCTGGTCTTCTGGGAGCATTCGAATTTGATGGTATCCTGCCTTTAAATCCAAAGTGCTAAACACCGCTGCCCCGCTTAGCCTATCCAAAATGTCTTCAAACTTCGGGATTGGATATTTCTCGTCTACCGTATTTTCATTCAATTTGCGGTAATCGATCACGACTCCTTTGCGGTATTTCTCCTTACTCTCTCCCGGTGCTCTTTTCTTCTTCACTGCCCACAGCGGACTGTTGTAAGGCGACGTGCTATCCACGATTATGCCCTGGTTCTTTAAGCTCTGCAACTCTTCCCTATTGTGTTGACGAAGCGCCTGCGGATATCTCCTATCTTTCACGTAACTCACCCTCTCGTGCTTTAAAGGGATCTCGTTCACCGTTTTACCTGTCACCAGCAACTTATCCCCCTCCTTAAAGAAAACGTCTTCGAACTCCCTTCTCACTGTAACTCTCCAATCCTCGGCTCGACTTATAGCTCCTATGCGCGCCCTATCGACCTCATACTTTACTGCTGCCCTGCTCGTATAGTTTACATTCCCTATTTTTATTCTCCACTCCTTTCTCCTATTCGAGATTCGCACGCCCACCTTTCCCAGCATGTCACAACCTATAATTGCCTGATATTCCCGGGGCATTTCTCCCACCACATGCACCGTAAGTTTACCTCCCTTGGCCGCCCATCCCCACAATCCTACCTCCACTTCCCCTTCCACTCCACACGGGCCACCCAGGGTGATTAACTTACAACTACATACCTTGATTTGGAGTGTCCTCTCTCCCCCGTACAGCTTCTCAAACACTCCACGCGTCATAATGGTATTGGAGCTCCCGGTGTCTACCAGGCACCTCACTCCTCTCGCCTCTATTATTGCTAACCAGCAGCTTTTCCCTCGAATGCTATAATTTACTAGCGTGCGGTCACCTCTCGCCTGACACTCTCCTCAGATCCTCTCTACTGCTGGCCGCCGTCCGCTTCTTCCACTGCCTCTCCTCTCTTCTCCGCTCCTCTCGTTTTCCCGGCTTACTAGGTCCTCTGGTTCTTCCTCGGTCTCGGTGGTTGCAAATTCTTCTGAAGCCTCCGTCGATGAGTCACGTCTCCTGGACTGCACCCTTCTTCTCCTCAGATCTTGCGTATTCACCTCCATCGGCTCTGCATATATATGTGTGTGTGTTTGTATGTATGTATGTATGTATGCGTTTATTTCTACTAGAACTTTTTTTTTGACACTGCTAACTAGAGTTTTTTGATACTGCCAGTGTTTCAACTGCCTCCTGCAGTGCCACATCCTAAGGTATGTTTTGACTTTTATTGTGATTCTTTTCTTAACACACCTATCCTTCAACTATACACCTTATTATTATCTTCATGCAGCTCTACCATTCAGGTACCGCTTTCAAAAAACTAAATGTCAATTGTCATCTATATATAGTACAACCTGTTTTTTGTTTCTTTATCATCATAACCTTGTTTTTACATTTATTCTTACATTTTAAAGTATTCTTTTAAAATTATTGTTTTCTTATAGAGTTATTTATACTTAATAATCTATCCCAACAATATTACACTAATGTTACCCTATTAGTCTTTCAATTTCTTCACTTCTTAACCTTTAGTCCCGGTATCTGTTTATTTACAATTAAAGGTAACCTCCACTTGCTTGTTATCCACTGATATCTTATTATTATGTTTTCTTATCCATATTTTAACTTTACTGTAACAATAGTTATTCAATTTTCAATCTATTTATTCGTTAAGATTCATTTATTCGTTAACATTCATGTATTTATTTTCTTTTATCTATTTTCTTATCATGTATTTATTTTCTTTATCTTTTATTTCTGTATCTGACAACTTCTTCGTATTTTATATATGCTTATATTTATTTTTTATTTTATTTTTATTTTTTCAACATGTTTGTATCTTTTGTAGCCCTGAAGACGACCCGCAAAGTGGGTCGAAACGTCGGCAAAAATTAAAATAATTTATATATTTTAATTTTTTTATTTATTTGACCGCACCCTCGACTAACTCCTTCTCATATTATATCAACGGTCAACCATCTCTACATCAAAAATCATTTTTGTTTGAATTTCTAAAATATTTTGTTTGAAAAATAATTTTGTCATTAAATATTATAGTATTTTAATGTTAGAATGTTAATAGCATAATCTCATAGTTTTAATACTTATCAATGTCAGTTATTGTATTCGGCTTGTGGCAAGTTTTAAAATATTTAATATTTTGGTATAATGTGAATTTTTGTTTCCTCAATTTTTTTTTTTTTTTTTTTTTTTTAAATTTCTTTATTGAGTATTATAACAATCTGTCTGTTGGACATTGGTTATAGTGAGGTAGGATGACATTCACACCATATGTACAAAAAAATAAAATAAATAGAACAAAATAATAATCAAAAGTATATACAATAGACAATAAAATAAAATAACCTAAAAAAATAAGAAAATTAAAACTAAGGAAAAAAAAAACACATGGATACCTATATACAATCAGGCGAGGGAACTCCAGGAGAACCCTGCGCTACTCTCCCAACCGCGTCACTGGTACTAAAGCCAGTGGAGATTGGTCGAGAGCACTACCTCAAATTTTAAAGCACAATATTGATTGTGAAGATATGAATCAATTCGATTAATATATTTTATCTCCTAAATTCGTATTTTTTTCACGATGTTATGATTTAAAAACAAATCTTATATATATATATATATATATATATATATATATATATATATATATATATATATATATATATAAATATTTTGATCATTTACTAAAAAAAAACACCACAACTTAACTAGATAGAGCGACGCTGGTCACTCCTATGAAAGACCCGTTTCATTAAAAGGGTTTCTTTTCATTTAGAAAATTCATAACCTCGTTAAAATCCGCTCCCCCCAAAAATGTTTATGGCGCAACGTGCGTCATAAAATCCCCTTCTGGCCACCACTGATAACTACAATTATATTCGTTATCTATTATGCATGAGTTAACATTTATTTTTATCCAACTCTGATGACAGCGCCCCATAACCTAAAAAGAATTAAATTAATGAGAAAAAAAATTTGACCGTATTGTGAATTGTATTATTTTTTAAAACCACATTGCATAATTAAAGTATGTTTAACAACATTTCACTCTTATTTTTATTTTACAATCAAGATTAATTTAATAATTATAAATTTGATAACATTCACAGAACATTTCAGTAATCGGAATCGCAGGCTTCGCAGGTGTCCACGTAGCGATACGGGGTGGCGCGGCACTTCTTGTTCTTGCCCTTGAGGTTGCATCGCTGCTGCATGCAGCACCTCTGCCTGCAGCAATGGATCGGCCTCGGCCGCGGCCGCGAAGGAGGCGTCGTGCAGCACGCGTCGAGTGCGGCGCGCAGCCTGCGGCCTCCGGTCTCCACCAACTGGTACCTCTCGTGGTCCGTCTTCAACAGAGCTCCGTTACTGGTACCAGCATTGAGGAACTCTTCCACTCTCTCCTGGATATTTCGTCTGTCGAAGCCTAACCTTGAGAAGACATAAGTCACCAATTCGTCCTCTGTCAATCCCATTTCTGGGTTATTTCTGTTTATCGCTTCTTGTATCAGCGGAGCGAAGTTGGCACTCGGTAGGCGGTTGTGTTGTCTCGCCATTTCCGTCTTCGACTGATTTCTTTCCAAGCTTTTTCAAACTTTAAAAATTTTATGGAAATAATTTTGTTATCAATATAGGAATATGTTTATTGGAATTGTTCACATTTATAAGCATATGATCAAAATAATTAAATAATATTGAGAAATCAACACTGTACATAATTCGGCAATACAGATCCCTTTTCTGTTTCTGTGGAGCGATGAAATTTGATGAATGAGGCATCAAACGAACGGGAATTTCTTGGAGAAGTGACGATTCATAATTTCAGAACTTGCTACTCTTACAATAATAGTCATTGAAAAGTTAGAAGGTTTCAAAACAGATGGTTTAAAAAATCGATTGATCGAGGCGAGACAACGTCATTAAAATATTTTGATGCAGACTTAAGCAGATCCTACACGGTAATTCATGAATGAACATCACAAGAAGTGCCAAGATTGCCCGCGATCGCTTTGATCGTGAAGACCCTTACACGTTCAATCATTACTGATCATTACTTATGTGAAGTTTCCACTTTTTTTTCTCTCCAATTTATTGCCTACTTGACTATTTAAAGAAAAAATGTTGAAAATGGTTAATAATAATATAGACTAGGGATATAAACAACTATTTACTTTTATGAAATTATTTACTTAATAACGAGACCTAGTTAAACTTATAGAAGGTTAGTCTCATAGAAAATCGTTTTGACAAAAGTTAGTAAAATATAAGTCTACTACTTAGAAAACTTAAGGAAAGGTATTGCGAAAATAATAAATTTGTTGAAGAAAATGGGAAAAGAACTGATAAATATACACAACGTTAAAGTTTTTTTTTTCCTAAAGTAAATTGTGAAGTTTCCTCATTTTTTTTTTATTTGTTGCCCACTTGACTATTTAAGAGAAATAGTTGAAGATGGTTTAAAATTATAAACAAGGGATATGAAAAATTATTTAACTATTTACATATAATGAAAATCAGAAATTTATAATGGTTGTGAGGCCTAGGTAACCTAACCTATCCAGCAGTATGGTTAGTCTCCCCACTACTTTTACCTCAGTCTCCCCTCCACTTCTCGTGAATGAACCTTTGATTTCCGGATGTTGGGAAATCCGTAGCGCACCTGAAAATCCATCTCCCTCAGTCCTTATACCTAATCCTTCGATTCTATCTCTCCGACCACTCCTTTCGAGTACGCTGCGGAACTGCATTTTCCGATATTTATCAAATTAAAGCCGGTGTTCCCCAAGGCAGCGTCTTGGGTCCCGTGCTTTACATCCCCTTTACCTCTGACATCCCTGCTCATTCCGATACCTTCCTTGCAACATTTGCTGATGACACCGCAATCCTATCATTCAACTCAGATCCTGAAATAGCATCCTTAAAGGCACCTCTCCCTTATTGAGCACTGGTGTAATGAATGTCACATTAAAGTGAATGAGTCGAAATGCAAAAATATTACCTTTACTCACCGAAGCAATTCCTGTTCACCAGTATACTTTAATTCCATCCAGCTTCCTTACTCAGACACAGTCAGGTATCTTGGCTTTCTCTTAGACCAAAGACTGACATGGAACCCACATACAAGACTCAAAAGACAAGAACTCAACCGACGATATGGCCAGCTGTATAGACTACTGAATAGAAAATCTCAACTTTCAATTGAAAACAAACTACTGATCAACAAGACAATACTGAAACCTATTTGGACCTACGGACTGGAACTATGGGGGATAGCAAAATTTTCTAACATCAAACGCATTCAATCCTTTCAGTCCAAAGTCCTTCGAACAATAGTTGATGCTCCGTTCTTAGCATTCTTAGCAACAAACCAAACCCTACATCATGACCTTAATATCCCATATGTCCTAGACCTTATCCCTCAAAAATTTTCAAATTCCACCAAAACCTTACATATTATCCAAATCCCGAAACGTTAATACATTAACATGTAATTTGGAAATAAAACAAATAAATTCAATTGTTGTTTAATTGGAAGTCATTATTGCCAAAAACAAAGAATAACATACAACTTCCCAGAAAAAAGAATTTTTACTTTGATGTTACTATTTTGTTTATTATGGTAAAGCCAGTTCTAATATATGGGTGTGAGACTTGAACAGTATGGATTACAGACATTTTTTAATCGACCAATAAAGACAAAAAGTTAAAACTCCATAAAAATATGAAGTTTCATGATACAGAGAGTACGAAAATGCTATGGTTTCACAAATTAATGATCTACAAGACAATTCTGAAATCTATTTGGACATACGGACTTGAATTTTGGGGGACAGTAAAATTTTCTAACATCAAACGCATCCAATCCTTTCAGTCCAAAGTCCTTCGAACAATAGTTGATGCTCCGTTCTATGTAACCAACCAAACCCTATATCATGACCTTAATATCCCATTTGTCCTAGACCTTATCCCTCAAAAAGTTTCCAAATTCTACCAAAACCTTACATATCATCCAAATCCAATTGCACAATCTCTCTTTAGCTCTCTCTACTCATTCCTACAATCCTCCTCGAAGGTTGAAGCGGCAGTGGCCCAGACTTATTGTAAGAATATATAGGAGTTATGGCAATGGCCAGATTCTCCATTCAAGCCATGTATGTCTGGTTTATTTATTTTGTTAGATTGGATTATTTTTATTTAGTTTATATACAATTTACTTTAGTATTATTATATTGCCGTTTATTATTTTTATTTATTGTATGGCATGAATGAGCTACTCTATATCACTATTGCTATTGTCCTTGAATGTGACAGATTGTAATATCTCAATAAAGAAGTTAAAAAAAAAATGACTTTACTAAAAAATATTGTAATCGCAGTTAGTCATTCTGTCAACTGAAAGGCACATATAATACTGTACTTTTTTTTTTAATCAGTTAAAAATTATGATAGAAGGTAAATAAGCATAGTCGAGGTTGTTAATAAGAAGCGTGAAGATTGGAAAAGAAGTAGATGGGAGGAAGGACGCAGTTATCGGAGAACTATAGAGGCCCGGAAGTGGCCCAACTGATCCTCAGTAACTATGTCCGATAAAAAGAGAACTGTTATAGCCAATCACAATCTTCCTCCTGGGGCTCTTTTCCGCAAGATCCTATCCTTACCCGCCAATATAAACCGGATTTCCTGGCCAACAATGTATCGCTTTCGGGTCTCTTGCTACCCCTGCATTTTCGCCGATGTTTCCTTCCTGGTCTACTTTGTTAGAACACAATGGATTTATAATATGAGTCTGTTTTACTTTACTGTGTTAGGTAGATAAATTAATTGATTTATTCCGAGATTTTACTAAATTTATACAGCTTAGAGTGGAGTTTCTATCCAAAGATTCTAACAAAAGTTAAAAAATTTGGACTTTTGTAATCCTAAATTTATTTTTTCTCCCTTCCAGTATTTTTGAGAAAATAATAGACTCTATAGTTTATTTTATTTATAAAAAACAATACAAAAAGTCAGAAGTGTATATACATTGGTTTATTATTTTCAATAATGAACCATTGTAATCAAACAAAAAAATTAAAAACTCAACCCCCTCTCGACATTTGATGTTTTACGTTTCAGGATACGTAGAATTCAAAAAAACGAATAAAAAATTGTTTGTCCATCCGCCGTCCGCGCATTTTTCCAAAACTACTGGACCGATTTTTTTCAAATTTGAATTTAGAATCAGAGGTCACTGGAGGATGATCCTCCTTCATCGACATTACTCTCCGCCTTTTACTTTCAAAATGTCGGCCGAATAACCTGCGTTGCTATAGACTGTAGCTGCTTAACGGATTTAGAGATTTCAATGAAACTTCGCTAAATTCGTTTTCTCGACGCCCTTTAAATTTATCTATATAACATACTTCAACGAAAAGAAGCTGGAAAAAAGTTACGAGGGATGGTAAAATCAAATTCCGAATAACTCAAAAAGTTTACACTTTTTTTGTGAACATTGTGATAAGATGTTTCAAAGGTATTAAAATTTCCTAAAAAATGAAGGTGTATATGTATTTTTAAAAGTTTACCGAATTCCCTAAAAAAACAAAAACAAATCCTCAAAATCGGACAATTATGAGGAAAGATATGGTCAAAACTATATATCTATCTATAACTACTGGACCGATTTTTTTTCAAATTTGGATTTAAAATCAGAGGTCACTAGAGAATGATGCTCTTTCATCGACATTACTATCCACCATTTCCTTTCAAGATGGCTGCCGAAAAATCTGCGTTGCTATAGACTATATCGCCTAAACGAATGTACCGATTTCAATGAAATTAGGCTAAAGTCCCCTTCTCGTTTCCCTTTAAATTTATCTGCACATTATACTTCAAGGAATAAAGCTGGAAAAAAGGTTACGAGGGATGTTAAAATTAGAATCCAAATAACTCAAAAATTATACACTTTTTTGTTGATATTGTGATGAGAAGGTATTATTTGAAAGTTAATGAAATTTCCTAAAATATAAATAAAAATTCTTTAAAATCGGACAATTTGAAGCAATTATATGGTCTCTAGATATTTTTTATATGTTCTACTGCAAAGGTTATATCATTTGTTTTGGATTTTGATTTTTGATTGTGTTAATGAAATAATGCTATTTTTACTTTCCTACCTATACTAGGTAAGGAAAGTATTGGAATCGGGTCAAATTTCCGACATGCGGTTTTCGACGGATCTATACGTTTTACAGCCCCCTGAGTCCGAAAAACACATTTTTAGCCATTGGTCTGTCTGTCTGTCTGTACCAAGATTTTCTCGGGAACCACTGAACAGATTTTGTTGCTTCTTTTTTTATTTTGTAGGGTTTCGACTACTGATGGCTGTGACAGAAATTCATTGCTCCATGCGCAATAGCTTGCGCGCAATCAATGAAAAACACGTTTTTCTATAGACTGTAGCGCAAAAACGGCTCTAATGATTTTGATGAGACTTTCCTATAATGTTCTAATCACTATTCTTTCAACTTTCGTATATAAACTAAATTCCCTAAAAAAATTCAGGAAAAAAAGTTATAAGGAAAAGAAAAATGTTATGGGGCCTAACTCCTTAAGTATATATTATACGGTGAAATTTATAATAAAACTTTTGAAAGGTAATTAAATTACAACCAAAATAAAAAAAAAAATCATCGGAATCGAACCAGTATTAACGATGATACAGCTTATTCTATTTTTTACACATTTTTTTAAACTTATTTTATTACTTTCCTACCTATACTAGGTAAGGAAAGTATTGCAATCGGGTCAAATTTCCGACATGTCAAGTTTTCGACGGATCTATACGTTTCACAGCCCCCTGAGTCCGAAAAACACATTTTTAGCCATTGGTCTGTCTGTCTGTGCCAAGACTTTCTCGGTAACTACTGAACCGATTTTGTTGCTTCTTTTTTTA